TCTTGTCTGCGAGCTTGGCACTAGCTCGAGCTCGATGTTAGATCGAACCCCCAGTCTTGGTTCGAGCTCGGTTCTGCCTTGGGTCATCGATATTCGGGGCCTGTGTCGATTGGTGTTGCCCCGTAGTCCGATTCGGACACGGGCTCAATAATGATATCGAGTTTTGCCGTTGATTGGTCTTATAGCTCGAAGCTCGACGTCCCTACTTTGGGATTCGTCTGAGCTTGTCATGTGAATACCCTTCGATTGAAACGTCATTGTCTCGACCGGTCTTTATGACTGAGAATCGATTTTGACCGTACACAGATAGTCCCCTCGTTTCTCGGAAAGGATGTGGCGAGGAACGATATGATTTCCCTGCGGCTCGATCAAATTTATGCTGACGTTTCTATCGAACCCGATCTTGACGTATGTGATAGCTGTCCATCGGCTCGGTTTTACCGAAGCATTTAATGTGTGTCAGACGGTGGTCGGCCACCGCTGATACCGAACCGTCATGCCTTAGTCTATAAATAGTCTTTCCATACAACCTTTACCACTTTTGCACCTTCTCTTCTTCCAAACTTTCTTATTTATCCTCTCTATTTCGCTGCTACGGGGCCGCCCATACCAGAATTTTGGTGATGTCTATTTCTTCACCTTCTTTTACACTCTTTCCTTTCATATCAATGGTGAAAACTTCCAAAACCGTACCTCAGAAGGAGAAAACTTCTTCCTCACGGTCGTCTAATGATAAGGAGCCGGTGGAGCCGTCAGTTCATGACTATGTTCCTGGTCCGTGCACTTTGAAGATCGATTTTAAGGTGGAGAATCCTTCCTCCGTTCCGGGTCGATGTGAACACGTATCGATGTATACGTGCTCTATAACGGAGGATCACCTCGAGGCCGTCAGAAAAGACTGCAACTGGGGTTCCGAGGTCGTGTTGCAAATTCCATCTTCCAATGAGAGTGTTACCATTTACGTGGAGGTTGTTTTAAGTGTTTATACTTATCCTTTCACACTGGGACCCGTCGACCCGGTGATTATTGATTTCTACAAAAGGTATCAAGTCATCCGTGGCCAAATTCATCCCTCTTTATGGCATATAGTGATCTTATTGCGCTTCTTCTCTATCAAAGCCGGGGGGTTGGATTTTTCTCTGAACCACCTCATACGACTGTATCGGCCTCAGATTTTTTGAGGACTAATCAGACTTCATCGTCGGGCATCGAAGGCTTTGACGTCGAGCATCGATAAAGACAAGGATCGGGGGTTGGATGGGTCGTTATATTCGAGTGAGGACCCGTGATCTCATTCTGGAGGAGAAGATGTCGTTCCTTGAAGAATGAAATTTTGACCGTAAGTGATTTTTGTTCACTTTTCATGTCCTTTTCCGATTTTTTCGGATGTCCTTCCCTGATGTTCAGCTGCCCCTTTGATGCCACAAGTGGTGCCTGACCTCGAGGACTGGGTTCAGAAATTAGCCTCGACCTCCTCTTACGCCGAGCGCGCTAGGTGTGATTTGGCAAAAGGCAGATGGGAGGCCAAGAACCATGGTGAGGTTTGCTTCTTGTTTCCTTCAAAGTATTCTTTGCG